ACCTAAGCATGAAAGGACTCAATTTTCAGCTTCATTTGTTGATCCTGTGTTTCTAAACAAATTACTTCCTGATAGGAACTAATGTCGGATTTTATTTAGTATGAAGCTAAGATCAATTGCAGTTCAGATTCCATGTATTTTCAAATGCTGCACTATTACTACTTGATCTTTCATCAGCTTTTGTTATCCTATTGATTATATTTTAATGTTACTAAGTTTTTTGGTATGCTCTGATGAAGTTTCGTTGCAGTTTCAGAAGTTGCGTAGAAGAATGAGGCATCTTCAAACAAACTGAAGAGGCAGCCAACTGTTCCAACATGGATCCCACAGTATACAGGTATGAAGATCACCTCCTATTACAACTCTTACCTTTGTTTTTGATATAGTTCGTTGATATGCGTTTCGAAGTTGTTTGGTCTCTGTAATATCCTAATTGCAACTAAAATTATAATTTGAAATAGATAATACTAGCTGTTTGTTTTACTGAAATTGGAATTCCTCTTCAAGTGCAATTACAAGACTACGACTACTTATAAAAACTAGCTTGCTTCCAAACCCGTTGGAAGTTGTTTTTGGTAAAGGGTAGCCAACTATAGTTGGATGAAACAAATAGCTATAATGGCAACCTAAAAAAAAAGAAAAATGAATTACAGTTGCAACTGTAGTACTTTATAAACCAAACATCACCCTTGAGTCAGCAAACTTGCTAGTGACCTTTTTGTGGTTTGTTGCTGCCGTCTTAATGAATGAAGCCACACTGTCCATTGTCCGTGACTTAATGCTTGATGCTACGCCACTCTTCCCCAAGCTCAGGGGATTGGGATCCTCTACTCATGAGGAGGTTCCTAAGATCTCATCATGAGATCTTGGCCTTTGATTTATCAATCAAAGGCCATGAGGAAAGGATGAGATATTGGCCTTTGATTAATAAATCAAAGGCTAAGATCTCTTTATTAGGAGATATTAGGACACTGTGCATTAGTAGAGGATCCCAATTAAAGCTCAGGTGGGCAACCGTCATCATAATTCGATGGGTCTTGATGAAATGAAAGATTGTGACCATCTATTCAAAGGTCATCCTCATTATCTGTAATCACCCCCCCTACATCTGACCTCAATTACCCTCTCTCTCTCTCTCCCTCTCTCTCAACATCTACCCACCCTTTTAAATTTTTTATGTACATTCATCTCTTGCTGCCCCACCTTTCCAGCTCTTTTCTTCAGTAGCATTACTGTGCTAGTACTTTGCCCATGGCCCCTGCTACTGTGGGTTCTTTTCCCCCTTCCCTCCCTTCAATTCGATTTACTGCTCTTTTGCTTAAGGTGTAGTCCTGTTAACTAATAACTTAAGTGGCAATGGTTGTGTTATCCTCTCAATCTAAACCTCCAGCAAAGATTGATGAGGATCATTAAGGCTTTACCAAAACCCTTGAGCTCATTTGGGCACGGGGGTAGTAGTTGGCCTTTGGAGACAAAGGACATTCAAATTGATGATTGTGGGCTTCTTAAGACACATCATCGGGCGCCAAAGCCATAAATACAGGCTCATGCTTTGCTCGCTGAGCTGTCCTTTTGAGTTATGTACAAAGGGAGGGGTCCAGGAGTTTCTTAATTTTGGAAAGGGTTGTTGTGATTGTTAGGAGGACAGCGTGATGATTGCTCTCGATTGGTGCATTTGATTTCTGTCTTTGAAAGGCTGGAAAAGTGACTGATACCTGTATGTATCTTGTCATGTTTTCTCTGATTTCAGACCTTTACTAATATATGCTCCAGCTGAGCAATGCTGGGTAACGGTGCTAAATACGGGATAAGTCTCAAACAATTGCTTACTTTAGTATCTTCGGAGAAATATGATAAAAAAAAGAAGTTTAACAAAGAAAGCCTGTATTAATCATCTGAATTGCTGGAACTCTTCGTACCTCACTTCTTGAACTACTGAAATTTTCAGAACTTAGAAGAGCCAATTGTATGAATTGTTGATCCCAATATCCAGATCGATTATGAAACCTATTTTTGTTGGTTTTTATTTTCCTTTCCTTTTCTTTCTTTCTTTTTCTTCCTTTTTTTGGCAAGCTTGGAAGTACCGCGGGATAACGATAGGTGTCACTTTGTTGCGTCCTGTTTCAAAATGTCCCCATATGATCTACTATTGAGTTGTCAAACCGTATTTATTGTGATCTTTAACCCGTAAGTCTAAAATTTAAATTAAGGCAAATACAATCGTTTGATTTATTATGGTCATTCGTCTTTTATCTGCAATATTTTGATTCTTTCTTCTAATCGGTTATTATTCATCACTATTATTTTTATTTATAACTGGTAGTTA